TCTTGCTCCTTTGGGTGGGGCTGAGGGGTTGGGTGAGGACAAAGCTACCATAAACGAGAAGATGCTCAAGATCCCCACCGGCTAAATTAGATCAACCTGGGTCCCTTTCCTAGGCAGGAACCCCACTTCATGTCTCGGTCCACCACTTGAAACATCAGAACTCCTTTGGTGGTGACCACTGTGACCCCCAGAACTTCTGCTCCCTTGCAAAGCTTTATTTTGGATTGGGGTCATAAGCCTTTCCTCCCCAGTCATATAATAACTAATGCAACAAATATTTATCATGTGCAACTCTTTGCTGGGAACAGAGGGACATACAGTAAGAGACCTGTATTCACTACCCCTGAAGCGTGAACGGTCTGTGAAAAGGGTGCTCTCACCATGGATGACAACAGTTCCCACCTCACAGGGTGCAGTGGGGTTAAATGAGTTAATGCAAAGTGCTGAGACCATGGCTCCCCAGAATAAGTGGTCAAGACCAAGAGCTGTGGGGTGAGGGCCTGATGTGGAAGTGCACTGGACTCCGGGGACCCAGATGAGGAGCCCATAGCTCAGACAGCTGGCAGCAGGGGAGGTTCCCAAGAGTAAGAGATGCACCTGCCTCCTGCCCCACTCCTTAGGACTGGGCCACTGGGGCCCCCTCTGGCCAGTGGATGGACGGGACAGCTGTAGATTGCCAGGCTTGGGTTCTGGCCCTGCTGACACCAACCCAGACTGTGGGTCCCACCCACGACCTGGCCATGTCCACAGCCCCCTCAGAAAGGAGCCCTGGGCAGGCCAAGGCGCATGGAAGAATGTGTGGGGAGGGGCCATGGAAGCCTCATGACAGACAGTGACCAGAAGAAAATGTCATCACTGTCCTCTCCGGGTCAGAAAGGGGGTGTGTGGCTGATGGACAGTCCCTGGCCAAGCAGCAGTCCTACAGGCTTGCAGGAAAGGCTGAGGGGAGGGCAAGGAGGCCCCACAGGATCAGGGATCGTTTACAAACCCCAGAGCCAAGGGAGGACTGGGGCTGAGGTGGAGGAAGTGAGGGGTTGGGAGGGATGACCTGACACCTTGGAAGCTGGGTCCAGAATCCAGAGGTAGAGCTAAGGCCACTGGGCTTCCACGGTAGAAAGGAGACCAGACCAGGGTGAGGCTCTTCATAGGAAGAAAGATAGGGTTTGGCCAAATCAGGGTGTGGGGTGGCCCCTCTCTCCAAACAGTTCCCTCTGCCCCACCCTTTGAACATGACAAATGTTGCAGTCATCTATCCTCCTGAGTTCTCCATAAAACTGTTCACAACCCTTCTAGCTGTCTGATTAGGGACAGGCTATTGAACCTCTTTGAGCCTCTAGCTTTTTTGTCTGGAAAAAAAAAAACAGGGTTAACGAGAGACACTGTGTTTAACACCCTTGCCAGCATGGTGGGCCTAGAGTTGTGGTTCCCTCTGCATCAGATTTTCCTGTCAATTCTTCCTTGTTTATGTTCTAATTTTTTTTGGCTCTGGGCCCACAGTCCTGTGGTGACTTTATTCAAAGTTCTTATTCCAGAGAATGGAGACAAGGGGGCAGGTGAGCAGAAAGCTCTCTAAACCATCCCAAGGCTGCACCAGGCAGAAGGAAATGAGCCTGAGAAGGAAGGTGACCTTGAAAGTACATAATTTGTGGGGGGGGGGCGCGGTGGGCAGAAGGTGGTCTGTGCAAAATTCCTATAGAGTCAAACTCCCCACCCAAAGGTATCCATCACTGGGAAATATACAAAGGAAAGAACAGAGAAAACACAACATCCAGATCCACAGTTAATTGAGTTGCAGGTGGCAGCTGAAGACAGACCCGTCTGACTATTGTGGCTCCCTCCCCCAGAGTAGCCCTCAGGTGACAGCACAGACCAACCACCTCTCAAAGGGAAATCATGGAGAGAGGGGAAAAGAACTGGGGAGGTGGGTGGCAGAAATGAGAAATTAGGAGAAGAAAAATGGTCCACAAAATGCAGAAACACCCCAGCATGCTTGCTTCCCAAACCCGGCCCATGAATCGAGGGGTGACAGGTCTCTCATCTCTGATGCCAAGAGCCAGGAGCTCCGGGCAGCCGCAGGTACTACATCTGCACCTGCCAGCACTTGGAAAGAGGCAATAAAGCATAGTAGCAGGGCCTGGAATGCTAAGTGCCTGCAGCTGGGAAAGGATTGCCTTGCAGCCAGAGCGGCTCACGGCACACGGCCACCCGGCAAGGGCAGGCTCCCAGAGACTGGACTGCACGTCCTCCCCACCCTGGGCAGCCTGCTGTCAGGGCAGCAGGCAGAGGCAGAGGCAGAGGCAGAGGCAGGACAGGTGCAAATGGAACCAGCCCTGGGGGCTGCCTGAGGCTGGGTGCTGGCCCAGACAGACAGGGATCTTCTGGATGAAACCCAAGTGGGCTGGCTGATTTACCAAGGCTGGCAGAAAGCTGGGATGCTTGAGTCACTGGTAAATAAAAATGGATCATAAAGCACCCTGGCTAAGCCAGCCGTCTGCAAATACACCAGGGCCACATGCAGCTCAGAGTGTGGGCCCCATCGCTCGAATGGTAATAACAATAATAATGTTTATATGGCACTCACAGCAGTGGTACCAGACTCTGTTCTAAGTGCTGTGTGCATGTTAATTTACTTAATCCTCATAACAACCCTAAGAAGCTGGTGGGGGTATAATCCTCCTGTTACATACTGCAAGATGAGCACCGAGAGGCCAGAGAGCTAAGAACAGAGGTAGGGTTTGAACCCACACAGTTTGTTTCTAGAAGCCCTGCCCTAGCTCCACCGTGCCTGCCAGTCACCAGGGTGGCATGTTAACAACTCCTGACTCAGCCAGTCCAGGAGCTTGAGGCTGCATCACTAAGACGCTCCCAGTGAAGCCTGGTTCCAAGACCACACCTTGAGTAGGATGCTCTAAATTACTACATTACATTCCCGTGACAGCCCTTCAGTGGCGAAATGAGTTTATACTGGCTGCTCTGGTCCCTGGAGGTATCTATGAATTCCTCAGTTAACAGAGAGAGGCACTCGCAGGGTGTCAGAATCTAGGGGCTGGGGCTGGAGGAGGAGGCGTGAAGTCTTAAAATTCCCATGTCCATTTCATCTCTGCCTGATTCAATCAGAATGTCAAGGGAAGAGCCCAGACTGGAATTTTTGAAAAAGCTCCCTGGGTGATTCCGACATGTAACTATGGAAGATCCCTTCCAGTCAGACATGAGGGAAGCCTCAGTTAATAAGCCAGGCTCATCGAAAGTTCCACGGGGTCAGGTCACGGATTTCAAACGTGCTTTCAGAAGAGGGTTGGTGAGCCAACTCCTAGGCCAGCTAGGGGTATGGCTGGGTCAGCTACAGTATCCTGTTCCTGTTCCCTGGGGCAGCTCTAGAGGCAACAGGTGGCAGCTGGCAACTCCCAGTCTGGCTTGCTTTCAGACACCCTACTTCCCCCATCCGTGAGCTGTCAAGAGAGAACAGACACTGCCCTGGATCAGTTGTGGGAACTGAGGCTCTTTCAACTATACTTCAATAAAATAAATTTTAAAAAGAAATCTCAAATGCTCTGGCTATTTCCCAAGTAAGGTTACTGACAATTTTTATACTAAACCGAAGTATAATAAAACATTAATTTATGAGGAAAAAAAAAAAAAAACAACCCTATCCTTGATGGCTCCTCTTAGTAATTTTCCATCCACTGACCTCTCACTTTGCTCCCTGGCTATAAATCCCCTCTTGTCCTTGCAGTAGGTGAGCCCAATCTCTCTCCCTTATTGCAACAGTCTTGAGTAAAGGCTTCCTTACTGCTTTAACAAGTGGCAGAATTATTTTTTTTCTTTAACACTCTCCTGCTTGAGGGAAAAGTCACCCCACAAAGTGAGCAGCCCTGAGTGTCAAGGGTAGACCTGATGCCACTGCCAACCAAACTGAGACTCCTAACCTTGACATTCAAGTCCCAAGCAAGGACTTCAAGGCTGAGATAATAAAATCAAGCCTTATTTGTTTCTTACGTGCACGTGCGCCCCACATTTAGGAAAACTAGATGGTTCACTGTTCCTCATAGACATCTGAACTTTCCTCCCATCCTACTGTAGTTTAGACTTTGCCTTCCACCTGGAATGTCTCCTTCCCATTCTTCTAAGTTGCAGAGATCTCTCCCCTTATGACAAGACTACTTATCCCCAGTCTTGGATTCCCCCTGTCTTCCACAACTACACAAACTCATCTGAGCTGGGTACATGGTTCTCCGGGATAAAGACTATGCTTAAAGACTATATTTCCCAGCCTCCTCTGAGGTGCATGTGGTCACATGACTGCATTACAGCCAATACAATACGAGCAGAAGCCATGTGCTTAATTTCCAGAGTGCTTATGTTCTTATGCCTCTCCTCCTCTTCCTATGTGATGCAATGGCAAGAACTCCTACAGCCATCTTGGACTATGGAGTGATCTTGAACTTGCAAGCTACACATGGTGGAGCAGCTAGGTTCCTGACAACATGGAATATCATGCCAGCATTGGGCTGGCCCCTCCAGACTTGCATGTGAGAGAAAAATGACCTTCCTTCCATCTTGTAGTAGTCACTGCTCTTTTGGAATTTTCTGCAACTCATAGCTGAACTTGATGCTATTAGAGTCCCCCTTTCAAACCCATGGAGGCATAGACTCTGGATTTGGGGGATGATTACTATACCACACTACACAGACTCATCATTTGCATCTCTTCCCCAAGTTAAATACTAAGCAGTGTGAAGGCTGGGACTGTGTCTTATCCAATTCCATATTCTCCTGCCATGTAAAACAAAAGCCCTCATACATAACACAGAGCATGTCTTAGGGTTGAAATGAATTCCATCTGCGTACTACACTCCACACAGCCTCCCAACTTGCATCCATATTCGCAACATGATACTAGCCTTCCTGGAAGGGTGCACCCAAGTGAACCCACCCTTTGTCCCTTCCAGGAAGCTTGTTTCCCACTACCCCCCCAACCCCCTGGGAGAAGCTTGCTTTACCAGGATGTCGGAGCCCTTAGGCTCCTCCCCAGTGGCTGGGCTGGAGCAGTTGTTGAGTTTGAATATCCAGTACTCCTGGGCCGTGACAAAGAAGTTCCATGGCAGTAGGCCGCCGATGCCCAAGCTGAAGAAGATGATATAGGTACCGTTGTAGCGGTCCTCGGGCCTCTGCAGGCTGGGTGGCGGGTGGTCCAGCAGCTTCTCAAGCAGTGCCTCTTGGTCAGCTCGGAGGGAGCTGCTTGCAGTTCTGTAGGTGGAATTGGAGGTATGATGAAAGTCATCCTCTGAGATGATGGCCACTGTTGGAGCAGAGAGACAGGGCATGTGATCAGAAGCTGAGGCCAGGTACAGCTGGAGACTCACCCATCTTACAGATCTGATTCTGCTCCTACCTGGGGATCTGTGGAGTCACCAGAGTGGGATTAGAGAGCTTCAGATTTAATTATTAGGGGCAAAGACAAGATGTCAGAATTGTAAGTGACCTCAGGATCCCCCCAAACTATACAGAGGCCACATGATAGCAGACAGGTTGGTTGGGAGTAAGGCAATGGGGCTTAGTGGGGCCTGTAGCAGTCAGTCCAGAAGGGCAAACCTGGTCTCAAGGCATTCAAATTTCTAAGCAGTCATAACAAAAAGAATTAGGCCCCTTGATGAGCCAAGAACGCTCTCTGAACTCTTTTCAACTTTATGGGAGAAAATTAAGGAGGAGGAAAGTGTGTAGAATATGGTACTATCTGTACATAAGAAGTACGGATGGGATAGGTGGGGAGGGGAAGATATATATGTAAGTATAACCTCTGGAAGGATACACAAGAAATTTCAAACAATGGTTGTGAGGAGTGAGGCTGGGGACTTCACTGCATGTTCTTTTGTGCCTCTTGAATTTTGAACTTTGTGAGTGTATTATCTGTTCAAAAATAAAAATTATAAATAAAAATAAAGGCTTTCAAATAACATTAAAAAAATAAACCTCATAGTGTCTAAAGCTGCCCCCAGAAGCTGGTTTGAAACATCTAATAGTCCACTCCCTCATTTCACTGTGGGAAAACTGAGGTCCAAAGAACAGGTCACAGACCAGGCAAATGGCCAAGCCTGGGTTTACAGCTCCTGCCTGGGCCCCCACCTGTTCATCACATCCCACCATGAGACAGCAACTCCCCATCTGCAGTAGCAGCTAAAACAAACTAAAGATTCTGAGTTGCCAGTAACAATTGTGTACACGGCCTCGGGTAAGTCACCAAGTTCTGAGCCTCACTTTCCCCATCTGCAAACCCGGGGAAGCCTTTTTACAATGGTTATTGTAAACTGCAACTGGCTGGCAATGCTGATAAATGTCAGCATCTTCCCTGCCATCCTGGGCTTGTCAGCTGGCTGGCTGGCTGTGGAGTTTGGCTGCAAGGTAGCATGCCTACTTCTATGCTCTATATAGCACCTAGGCTGTGGCAGCAGCTTGATAAATGGGAAATATTTCCATAAAACTGAGGATGGGACACTCCGTAGTCCCTTCTGCCATAAATAAATCAGTGCATCCAGGCTCACATAGGAGGCTGAGCCTTAACTCAGCATTAAGCCAGGCCAGGAGAAATGCGAACACTCTGTCACAGAGGTATAGGGCCTTATCTGCTATTTCAGGAGAGCCTCACAATATTTCTCATAATTAGGCAGGACAGGAATTACTGCTTCCTTTTTATCAGATGCAAAGAACGAGGACGTAAAGTTACTTGATTTGTCCTACATTCAAACACTGAGAATTCCCAATAGTTAAATCCAGCACTGGGCTATGTCCAGGTCTGTACCTGGCACTTGAAGCTGACGACAGCCCAATATGGTAGGTGCTACTCTAAGACCCATTTCACAGGTGAAGAGGGAGGCTCAGAGAGGTTGAGTAATTTGCTCAAAGTCATGCAACTAACAAATGGCAAAAGTGAGGTTACTCAGCCAATCAGTCTGAGGGTCATGTGGACTCCTTGGCCTCCCTCGGAGGAAGGTGGTTGGCAATGTGCAACCTTGGCTACTGGCTCCAAGTACAGACTTTCTGAAAGAATTCCTGGTCAGTGAGCTGTGAGCAGAGGCAAAGGCAGCACTGCAGGGCACCCTTATCAATATCTGCTGAACAAATGGATTCTGAACAGCCAGGCTATGTACCCCTACTGGAGCAGCATCTATCCTGCAGCAGGCAGGCAGGAGGCAGCCGGAAGCCCAGAGCATCTGTGTCAGCAAGTCTATTTTAAACTCCCCTGCTTGAGCAGAGCCTTTTCCCGGCTTTGATTCACAGGGAGCTCAGCACTAACAAACTAACCAGACAGTGTGGCTATGCACGCACATGTGTGCACACACACATACAGTTTCTATATTAGTGTTTAAAAATGTAAAAATTATGACCCACGTAGGACAAGACAATGGGCAAGTGGTTCTTTCCAGATGCTCCAACTCCAGGGGTGGGTGCTGCGGCTAAAGTTCAGTCACTCAGGCCACACTCGGCTGGAGTCCATTCTCAGCTCCAGGGGCCTATTTGTCCAGGACCATTCAGCCTTGACCAAGCTTCTGAAAGAGCCAGGAATTTTCTCTCACTCAGGTCACAGGCCGGGGCACTGGAGTGAGCAAAGTCTTATTACTCTTTATGAAAGCTAGCTGCTGGCTTTGTATTAAAAAAGAAGAAAGGCAAAGAAGAGTCCCGGCATCCCCAGGGCCAGACGGGCGATGCCCTGGGGTGTGTTCTTTAGGCACCTGTCGGAATCAGCAGGGCTCAGCCCTGGTCCTGTCCTGGTTGACCTGGGGCAAGGGGTAGACCCTGCTCAACGCAGCAGGAACTCGTGGGGCCTGGGGCCACTGCAGACCATCGTCCAGGTCTGGGCGCTGGTTCCCAGGAAGTTTTTGACTGACTCTTAAGTCAATCTCGCCTTTGTGCCTCGATTTCCTCACTTGGGAAATGGGGCCAAGGGGCTGGTAAGGCTACCCTATGGGAAAGCTCTGTGGGAAACACAGGGCGCCACCCAGAGGCCACGGCAGAATTTGCCTTGGGGTCGGGGACACCCCCAGACTCAGGCGCCCCAATTTTGGCTCTCAGCCACCTTCTGGATACATTGGGCTAACTAGTCCATATCCAGGCCCCCCACATCCAAACGGTGAGGTCCGATCTCAGGAAATTCCTGAGGGGGCGGGAAGAGAATCTGGAGGAGAAAGTAGACCCAGGAGGAGGGAACGTGAGAGGAAAGTGAGAGGAGAGAGCAAGGGAGGAAGAGAAGGGACGCCGAGGAGAAGGGTCACAGCGAGAGGCGTCGAGCCGAACCGGAGGCCGGGTCGGGGTCCTGAGGCTCTCGTGGAGCACCCCCAGGAGGGCCGCGGGGTTGGGGTGGGGGGAGGCCGCCCACAGCGAGAGCCCGGGGAGAGCCCGGGAGCCTGAAGAGCTGGGCGGGGGCCAGGCCCGCGCCCGACCGCCGGCCCGCACTTACTGTCGCCGCCGCTCGCCGCCACCGCCGCTGCCTCCCCGGCTGCCGCGGCCACTGCGACTCGGGGCTCGGCCGGCCCTCGGGCCGAGCTCCGCCTCCAGGCCCCGCCCCCTGCCCCACCCCTGGCGGCGCTTCCGGGTTTGCAAACGGGTCTCCTTTCGCCACCTGGCGCTGTTAAGCGGGCGGCAGGCTGTGGGCACGAGCCCAATGCACAGGTGGAGAGAGTGAGGCGCCGGCAGCCAGGTGCACCGCCCAGGCTAGCGCGCGAGTGCACAGTGAGTCGGCTCCGGGTGCTGCCGCCGCTGCTTCCCCACCGTGGAGCCGGACCACCCCGTCAGCTCCCAGAGCCCTGCGCCCCAGGACCCGGAAGAGCTCTCCGCCCGCCCCCAGGCAGCTGCGGAGTCTCACCTGCGCCTCCCTGATCCCCTACTGTTCTCCGCATTCGCGGGGACCCTCCCGGGTGCTAGCACCTTCCAGAAGCTCACTGGCAGAGGCAGAGGAGTAGCTGGGAGGGCAGTACACAGTCCTCAGGACCACTCCGACCCCATCAGGCCCTCCCACCGGCCGCCAGAACTTCCTGTCTAAATTACCGCCCAAGGCAGTCACCCTCTCTCCGCTTTGAGCTGACGTCCACGCTCATTACTGTCCCATGCCCGGAGGGGCCGGAGTTGCCCTGTGCCCCTCTCACGGATCTGAGAAATCTGGGCTTGGAGGAAGCCCAGACGGAAGTGTGATGTAACGCTAGGTCTGTCTGGTTCTAAAACTATTGAGAGGCCCCTGACCCCACAGGGGTGGGTCAGCGCTGGGTGCTCTCACGGCCACGGGGAGGTGGCGGCCTTGCTTCATGGTGAGGCTCGCAGAACACTGTGCGTCCTTCATTAAGCAGACCTACCATGCGCCACGACTGAGCGACTGAACTGAACTATGTTCCAGGCCCTGCAGTGGGGCCTGTGGTGTGTTAGGGTCAGAAATATATTTGATCTGGTCCCTGGTTCCTGATAGACTGTTTCTAAAACCCATAGAATTTCCTGAGTGATGGGGGTGACAGGAGGGTTTTTTTTTGTTATTCAAGCCCATTTAAGCCACACCTGAGTTGATGCTAATGAGGTGGGCTTGGTGGCCCCAGATAGCTTCTGGCTGAGGGCTGGTGGAACCCACCCCGGGGGATTAGAAGGTTGGAACTTTCAGCTCCATGCCCTGTCTCTAGGGAGGGGAGAGGAGCTGGTGATGACCTAACCACCCATGACCAATGAGTTAATTAACCATGCCTACATAATGAACCTCCATAAAACCCCTAAATGATGGGGTTCAGAGAGCTTCTGGGTTGGCAAACACATCTACCTTCAGGGAGGGTGGCACACCCCAACTCCATGGGGACAGAAACTTGGGACCTGGTACCTTGTTCATTTTGTACCCTTTGTATAAAATAAACCAGTGATAGTAAGTTTTTTCCTGAATTCTGTAGGCTATCCTAGCAAATAATTGAAACTGGAGGGAGTGTGTGGGAACCCCTGATTTTGTCACCAAGTTGGACAAAAGTTTGGGCACCCTGGGTACTCTATACTTAACGACTGGAGTCTGAAGTTGAAGTAGGGGCAGCCTTGTGGGACCCCTCAACGTGTAGGATCTGTGGCTCCAGATAGTGTCAGAATTGAATTGTTGGATCCCCAGCTGGTGTCCAGAGAGTTGGAGAATTTGTTGGAGTATACATGTAAAAAAGAAACCCCCTGCATCTGTTGTCAGAAGTGTTGAGAGAGTAAAAACAATGCGAGGACCCAAAGGAGGAAAGGGCTGGGGTGTTGCTTTGGAGGAGGCTTGCCCTCTGCCTGGGGGATAGGCCAGAAAGGGTGGAGGACATGAGAAGCCCTGCAACCTACAGCTGGCTTGAGAACAGACTGATTTCAGTACCAAGGAGGGGATGGGAACAAGTGGGCAGGCCACGTGATTGGTCTGGCGGATGTTGTGGACTGGCTGTGGAGGCCCCTTTTGATAGGTGGTGCCAGAGGTAAAGAACCCACCTGCCAATGCAGGAGACTCGGGTTCGATCCCTGGGTCGGGAACATCCCCTGGAGGAGGCACGGCAACTCATTCCAGTATTCTTGCCTAGAGAATTTCATGGACAGAGGAGCCTGGTGGACTACAGTCCACAGGGTCGCAAAGAGTCGGACATGACTGAAGTGACTTAGCGGGCATGCACAGGAATGGAAGCAACACTTTCCTACCTGAGGGCCATCTACTCTGTCTGGGGTGGAGATGAGTTGAGGCATTTCAACTGGGCAGAGCGGATGCCTGTTTGCAGGCAGTCAGAGAATGTCAGGGAACTATTTGTAAATGGTACAGTGCTGCATAGCTACTGGGCATCACCATTGTTCTGAAATGCACATGAAGAAGAAAGAGAAGTGGGGAGAGAAAGGAGGAAGAGAGGGAGAATAAGAAGGAGGAGGAGAAGAGCAAGGGAAGAGAAGGGAGAGAGAGAGGAAGAAAGAAGAAAGAACAAATGAAAATTCAAAACATCCCAAGTGCTCTTCACTGAGTTGATATTTTATAATTCTCAGAGTAAAGCACCCTGCCACACCTGGGCTTGGAAATACTCTGAAAGTTCTAACAATTGAATAGAAGCCATCTCAGTATTACAAACAGACTTGCTTCTGGCCCCGGGGAGCTGCAATGGCCTGATGAATACTGGCTCGGGAGGCCTCCTGGTGTGGTGGACAAACTGGAGCCATATGAACCTGGCCTTAGGCTTAGATGCTGTCTAGGTATCCCTATGAAGTCAAGCCTGGTTTCCCTACTCATATCAGCGCAAGCTAATAGCCTTCTATGAGGCTTGGGGTGGGGGATTGGGGGGTTCAAAAGTAATATTGATAGCTCTCAAGGACGCTCTGGCTGCCTTCCCCCACCCCCAACAACCATCTCCTTTGAGGCTGGTACTCTAGTTAGCCTCTTTTACATATGAGGACCAACTCCAATATTCTTGGGCTTCCCTTGTGGCTCAGCTGGTAAAAGAATCCGCTTGCAATGCAGGAGACCTGGGTTTGATCCCTTGGTTGGGAAGATCCCCTGGAGAAGGGAAAGGCTACCTACTCCAGTATTCTGGCCTGGAGAATTCCATAGACTTATAGTCCACGGGGTTGCAAAGAGTCAGACACGACTGAGCGACTTTCACTTTCACGTATGAGGAACCTGGGGTGCGGAGAGAGACCTTTTCAGAGACACGCAGCTGATAAACCGCAAAGCCAAGGTTCAAATTGTCGCCTTTCTGCCTTCTGAGCTTAGTCAGGGGTTGCATCCAAAGTGGTTGGGAGTGGGGGCGGGGGAGGCTCACATAAACTCCTCATTGCTCCAAAGCTTGCAAACCTGTAGGCAATTAAGCAATAAGAGCCTACGCAGAAGGCGGGCCACCGGTGGAGGCGGAGCCCTCATCGGGCTCCTGCTGCCATCTTGTGGCCCTTCCCTGTCACTGCTGTTCCCATGAGCCGGGCTGCCTGGGCATTTCCTGCTTTCTAGGATTTCCTGGACCCCCAAGCAGGGCATGTGGCTCCTGGGAGGTAAAGAATTATCCGTAACTGCTGACCCATAACTCTCTGCGCCTACATCACTAGTTCAAGTCCTAACTATCTCTCTGACTCGAACCACCTCTCCTTTGCTTTGCCTAACTGCTCCCACTGAGGAATGTTCTGGGCCTCTGCTGGAGACTCCAGCCCTGACCCATCTGTCTTCCCTCCATGCACTGGGCATCTTCCTTCCTCTTGGAGCCAGCTTAGATTTCATGGCTCATCATCTCAGTAACATCTTGTCAATACTCTCAATTCTCACACCCCTTGACTCCCAGTGGCACTCCCTACGCCTGAGTGGATGAGCCTTCTTGCAGGAAGTCCCCAGCAGGCCAGTGGCTCCACTCTGAACTCGTTACCAACCTGGGCTGGGCGTCCAGGAGTCTGGTGGTCCCATGGCAGTCCTAGCCCCTGCTCTCCATAGAAACGGCTGCCATTTTCCTTTTCCATTCATCTCAAACATCTGAACACATCCCACCCTGAGATGGCCTTGCCTCCTGCCTCCTACCTGGCAGAGAAAACAGAAACCATCAGGGAGGAGCTTCCTCATTTCTCAGCACCAAATATGCCCCCCATCTGCTCCTGTTTTTCTCTTTCCAGTTACAACAGGAAAGTTCTCCTCTCTGTCCTAGGTCTGCCCTCTCTGGCCCCAGATCCTAAACCCTCCCCTCCCACCAGCTCAGGAGCCTTTCAGGATCCATCAACCCTTCTTTTTCTTACACCTTTAGTCTAATACTCCTTAATGCACTCTTTCCACTTCTTTTGTTTCCTTGTTTGACATTTTCTGATGGAAGTATAACCTACAAATTGTAAGTGTAGGGCTTATGAATGACCACACAATGGATGTATTTATGCCATCAACACCTGGATCAAGAAATGGAACATTAGTAAGTGACACAGGCTGGAACCTGGGAACCTTTGCTGCAGTGCTTTCACCTGGACATATGTTTTTTGTATCCTCGAGCAACAGAATACCAAGAAACTACAAGGGGCTAAAAAGTAACTGCATGCATGCACAATTGGGGCAAATTATGAGCAACAAGATACAAAAAGGCCAAAATCCAATTGCCACTTCTGAGGTGCCCAGAGAAAAAGCGGGGTACTGTGCATGATACCTGCACACAATATCTCCAAGGGGCGGCGGGACACCTAAGTCACCCTTAGGCCCCACCTATTGATACACCCCCGGCCTCACCCCATTGAAAGAACCAGCCTGCCCTCCATGGAGAATGAGCAAGTATACCTATTACTTGTTCTCACTCCTTGATGCTCACTGGAATTCCTCGCCTGGTCTTATCAATTGTTATTGTTTAGAGTCTGGCTTCCCTGGTAGCTCAGCTGGTAAAGAATCTGCCTTCAATGCAGGTAGACCCCAGTTCAATTCCTGGGTTGGGAAGATCCCCT